CCAACAACAGTTACGGCAGCAGCAGCAACAAAGGAAGATACAGATACAGAAGCAGCAGCAGCAGCAACGGTTGCAACAGCAGCAGCAACGGTTACGGGAGCAGCAGCAACAGTTGCAGCAGCAACAACAACAATTGCAGCAGGAGGAGCAGCAGCAGCAGCAAAGGAGGCAGCAGCGGATTGAAGAGGAGGGAAGCAACAATGGAGAAGCCAGCCTCTCCTCTCTCAAGCTGCAGCACTATAACCTTAGCAGCAGCAGCAGCAGCAACAGCAGCAGGAGCAGCAGCAGGAGCAGCAGCATCTGCAGCAACAGCAGCAGCAGCTGCTACTGCAGGTGGCACCTTAGGCAAAGGCAAGGGGGCCCTCAGCTGGGGGGTCCTGTGCTGCCTGCCTACACACAGCAGCAGCAGCAGCAGCAGCAGCAGCACATGCTGCAGCAGCAGCAACAGCAACAGCAACCACATCAACAGAAGGTACTCCATCTACAGCAGCAGCAACAGCAGCAACAGCAGCAGCAGCAGCAGCAGGAAGGCCGCCTAGTCTTACAGCAGCAGCACACAACTGAGGAGTTGCTAGATTTGCTGCGTCCTGCTGCAGCAGCAGAAGCAGCACAGCAGCAGCTGCAGGCAACAATTGGTGTTGAGGTGTATGTACTAGGTATCTATTGTATTAAATTATTAGGGGGATCTGTGCCATGTCGTGCTGCTGCTGCAGCAGCAGCAACAACAACAACAACAGCAGCAACAGCAGCAGAAGGAGGTCCTGCCTCCCGTCAGCAGCAGCAGCGGACTACTTGCTGCAGTGACAACGAGATCTACAGCAGCAGCAACAGCAACGGCAACAGGTGTACCAACGGCAGCAGCAGCAACAGCAGCAGCAGCAGCAGCAGCTGCTGCTGCTGCTGCACTGCATGCGAATGGTGCGCGCTGCGTACCTGTGGGGCTAAGGACGGCACCTTAGATTTGCTGCGGCGGTCCCTCTTTGTTGAGGACGTAGCAGGTCTGCTGCAGCTGCAGCAGCGGCAGCAGCAGCAGCAAAGGCAGCAGCAACAGCAGCAACAAAGGCAGCAGCAGCAGCAACAACGACAGCAGCAAACCGCCACTATCTTCAGCAGCAGATCCCCGCTGTAAGCAGTCTCAGCACAGTCCTACCGTAGGTACAGGTAGGGGCCCCCCTAGGGGGCCCCCTTGGAGGCCTTCTTGGGGGGCCCCTTAGGGCCAGGGGGCCCCCCTAGGGGGGCCCCTAGGACCCCTGACTAACAGGGTCCTTAAGGGTACAGAATGACATTGCTGCTGCTGTGTCTGTGTGCTGCTGTGTGCTGCAGGGATGCAGCAGCACGACGAGGCAATGCAGCATGCAGCAGTCCTGCTGCTGCTGCTTCTGCTGCTGGTCCATCTGCTGCATCTGCTGCTGCTGCGCTGCAGCAATGCATTCACGACTCTGTGCTGCAGCTGCTGCATTCTTCCCGATCTGCAGCAGCAGGCAGCAAAGCAGGCAAGTCTAAAGAATGCTGCTGCTGCTGCTGCTGCTGCTGCTTCCATTTCTGCTTATACTCGTGCTGCTGCTGCTGCTGTTGCTGTTGCTGTTGCTGTTGCTGCTGCTGTTGCTGTTGCTGCTGCTGCTGTTGCACCTCAGCTTGCTGCTCTTGTGTCTGTGTGTCTATTCGGGTGTCTATGCAGCTGTAGCAAAGAATGCCTTAATAGCTGGGGTGTATAGGCAGAGGGGCCCCAATGGTATAGGTACAGATATAAGGGGGCCCCTAAACGAAGCTGTACCCTTATTGGGGGGCCCCCCCTTTATACGTTTGCTGCGTCTTATTGGTCCCTCTTTCTTCTCTCGTCTTCTTAGTTGTATACTCTTTGTTACTGATAAACAACTTGTAAGGCTAGCTGAGCAGCAGCAGCTCGTCAGCACCAGCAGCAGCAGCAGCAGCAGCAGCAACAGCAGCAACAGCAGCAGCAATTGCAACTACAATGGTAACTGCAACAGTAGCAGTAACAACAACAATAATAACAACAAATGCATAAACAATAACAATAACAACAACAATTGCAACAGCAGTTGCTGCTGCACCTGCAGCAGCAGCAGCAGCAGCCTCAGCAGCAGCAGCAGCAGCAGCAGCATTGACTATTATAATGAGGATAGACAGCCTACAGCTCGTCAGGTGTATGTACAGCTATGCGGTAGACCATTAACTAATGGTGTTATAGAGGCACTTAATAGGGACTATCGTGCCCTGGAGGAAGCAAAGCAACGCATGCGCATGCAACGCATGCAGCAGCAGCAGCAGCAGCAGCAGCAGCTAGTGCAGCAGCAGCTAGTGCAGCAGCATGAACAAAAACAGCTTACGTGGCAGCCTAGGGGGAATCAACAGGTGCAACAAGAGCAACAGCAGCAGGAAGGGGACATGCAGCAGCCCCTTAAACAGGAGCAGCAGCAAGATCAGCAGCAGCAGCAACAGCAGCAGCAGCAGCAGCAACATGAGCAGCAACCTAGCATAAGCAACTCTATCCAAACTTATTGCTGCAGCAAAAGAGACAGAAGCCGCTGCAGCGCAGCACAGCGTCGTGCAGCAGCAAAGCAGCGTCGCCGCATGCGTCTAAGACTTCCTTACCCTCATCATCATCAGCAGCAGCAGCAGCAACAGCATCAGCATCACCATCAGCATCAGCAGCATCAGCAGCAGCAGCAGCAGCAGCAGCAGCAGCAGCGGCTACGACGCAGCGAGATAGAAGTACCAAGACATGCAATTTTCTATCATCGTAGTTTTAATAAGAAAGGGGGACTCAGCAGCAGCAACATATTAACTGCATTAACTAAATTTGCTGCTGCTGCTGCTGCTGCTGCTGCTGCTCCTAATAATAATAATAATAATAATAAGAAACCTGATGCTCCTGTAGCATCAGCAACAGCAGCAGCAGCAACAGCAACAGCAACAGCAGCAGAGGGAACAACAGCAACAGAGGAGAAGCTCAATGGGAGGGGAAGCAAAGATCACCATCCCTCTGCAGCAGCAGCAGCAGCAGCAGCAACAACAGCAGCAGCAGCAGCAGCAACAACAACAACAACAGCAGAACCAACAGCAGCAGCATCAGCAGCAGGAGGAGTCAGCAGCAGCAGCAGCAGCAGCAGCAGCAGCAGCAGCAGCAGGAGAGGTTTACGTGTTGCTGCTCGTGTCTTATTAAAGTATATATTAACAAATGATGATTTTTCTCTTCTTTTTTCTTCTCTTAAGGAAATTGATGTATCTAAGAGGCTACTACTTATTATGCAGCAAGCAATCAGCAGCAACAGCAGCAGCAGCAGCAGCAACAGCAACAGCAGCAACAGTAGTAGTAGTAGTAATAGTAGTAGTAGTTGTAGTAGTAGTAGTAGCAACGGGCAGCAGCAGCAGCAGCAGCAGCAGCAGCAGCAGATGACGCGTCGCCAATTATCACGATATCTTCGTCTTCGCTCTCCTTATGCTAAGTAAGTTATTCAGCAGCAGCAGCAGCAGCAGCAACAGCAGCAGCAGCAGCAGCAGCAACAGCAGCAGAAAAGGGTGTTATAGAGGGTTTAGGGTTTATGGTGATTCCTGTATGTTTGCTGTTGCTGTTGCTGCTGCTGCTGCTGCATGTGTCTCTTTCCTGTGCTGCTGCTTCATGTGTCTCTGTGTTGTGCTGCTGCTGCTTCTGTTGCTTCCGTTGCTGCTGCTGCTGCTGCTGCTGCTGCTGCTGCAGGAAGTTGCTGCCAGCAATAGAGTTGCTGCTGCAGCGGCATATTCGTTGCCCTTATTTGCTGCTGCTGTCTAGACACTGCAAGATACCCCAAGCAACACGTCGTGCTGCTAAGAAGGCACTACAGGCAGCAACTAATGCATGCAGCAGCAGCAGCAGCAGCAGCAGCAGCAGCAGTAGCAGTACATGCAATAATAACAACAAAAACAACAGCAGCAGCAGCACCACCGCCACCACCACCAACAGCAACACCAACAGCAGCAGCAGCAGCAGCAACAGCAGCAATTCAATGAATGAGCCTCGTATGCTAGATTGGTCAATCCCTGCATGCAAAGTTGCTGCATTTGCTGTTGCTGCTGCTCGTTATGTAATTCCCCCGCTGCTGTTGGGGTGTATAGGCAACTATTGTCTCCTTTTGCTGCGTATACGCCAATTTATTTATTTAAATAAAAAAGAGACAATAAATATTCATCAATTAATGCAGTGCATGCAGACTGCAGCAAGGGGAAGCAACAGCAACAGCAGCAGCAGCTCGTGCAGTTGTAGTAGTAAATATAACCAACAGAAGCAGCAGCAGCAGCAGCAGCAGCAGCAGCAGCAAAAAAAAAACAGGAGAAAAATACGCATGCAGCAGCAAGAAAGAAAACAATACTTAGAAAGAATATTATTTTTTATCTTTTCTTTCTTCTTAATTCCTTTATTGAGGTAATTAATTAATTAATTAATTAATTAATTTATTTATTTATTTATTTATTTATTTATTTATTTATTTATTTATTTTACTTATTTATTTTTTTATCTTTTCTTTTTTCTTAATTCCTTTATTAACGTAATTTAATTAATTAATTAATTAATTAATTAATTAATTAATTAATTAGTATATTTATTTATTTATTTAATATTATTTATTTATTTATTTATTTATTTATTTATTTATTTATTTATTTATTTATTTATTTATTTATTTATTTATTTAT